AGACGACAAGGTGTGGGGTCATGTGACTTGACAGTGCAGAGCCGCAGCGTTCGATTCCGGCTCCGGCCTTTTTTGTGTGGAGTTTGCATGTTCTCCCCCGTGCCTGCGTGGGTTTTCTCCGGGTACTCTGGTTTCCTCCCATAGTCCAAAAACATGCAGGGCCGGTTAATCGAAGACTCGAAATTGTCCCGAGGTGTGATTGTGAGCGCAGATGGTTGTTTGTCTATGTGTGCCCTGCGATTGACCAGTTCAGGGTGTCCCCCGCCTACTGCCCGAAGACAGCTGGGATGGACTCCAGCACGCCCCGCGACCCTTGTCAGGATAAACAGATCATAAAATGGACGGATGGATCAATTTTCCCCTCTTCTCTCACCTTCCAAATGATTTTTTTCTTTTCTCTAATAATGTATTGCGCAAAGATGCAGGCATTCGACTATTCAAGTATGGCAGGGTGCAGAGGTATCGCACAGCGTAAATGTTCAAGTGAGCAGGATTACAGCAGCAAAATATTGCAGAGTGAGGTTGAAAGACTGTGATGTCATTATTTCAGAAAATCGATGATGTTTGGATAGTCGCTGGTTTTTTTTTGTCTTTTTTTAACAGTATACATTTCTGAAAAAAAATATCAAGTTAGGACATATGAAGTTTCGGCGATACGTGACTCAACACAGTTGAGATCTCATCAGAAGGCAGAACACATGCTTCCTGTTAACTCTTTATTTTCCTTCATGTGCCAGCAAATTCCTTCAAACGTTCGGGGATTATTACGTTTCCCTACGATAAGAAGAACCCCGTTGATTTGGGTGTGGTTTTGATGTGCCTTTCTCTCCGTTTTACTGGCGCTTGCACTTAAATGACAACAAGCTAATAAAAAGTGCCGAGTGATTCCGTTCATCCTTCACATCATTTTGCCATCTCGCCACTCGCTCTCTCAAAGCGTCGCTTTGCTTTCATCGGGCCGCCGACGCCAACATGTGGAGATAATTCTGATGTCTCCGAGGGGGGGGGAACGGGGGGGGGGCTTCCTCTTCTCTACACAGCTTTGAGCTGTCACACATTTCAAAGCAAAGAAAACACATTCATCTCTGCAAAAGTGTGTTTTTTCTTTTTTTTTTTTTTTTCCTCTTCAATTCTAAACATCTGAGCTGACAGATGAGCGTCGCAGGGGATGAGAACGAGTGATGTCATCACAAAGCAATTAGTCAAAACACAAGAGCGCCCATCTTGGGATCAATATATGATCTATGATCAGTCAGCATGTAGATTGATCACAGTTGTGTGTATTGATGAGACTTTGTTGTGTTGTTGCCTAATGACGCAGCAGTTTAATTATTTACCAAGACGAAAAAAAAAAGAACATTCAGGATGAATTAATGATACCGACAGGCCACTTTATTAGCTACAATGTCAATCAAAAGCCTAAACACTACGAGGGAAACCTGACCTACATTCACAAACTAAATTCTAATATTCCTTCCATGAAATTGTTTTAATTTACCCCGAACAGTGTATTCTCTTTCATTTTCTTTAATTTCATAGCCTTTCTCTCAGCTGCACTAATTCTAGTTTGTGTATATGGATGTTTGATTTTTTTTTTCTGTCCAATCAGATAACAGCATCAATGTGTTGCCATGTCAATCATATCTGTCCAGGGCCTTCACAATTATGTGAGCCAGTAAATGTTTGTGTGTGTGTGTGTGTGTGTGTGTGTGTGTCTGGGTGGGGGGGGTGAAAAATAAAGTTGCTGTTGAGAAAAGATTAGCACATGGGTGCTTGGGATACTAAGTTGCAGTTACATTCAAAATAAAACGAGGAAAATAATTATCTATAAAAATGACAGTTGCTGGAAATTTGATCACAGGGCCACTCAAAGTATGATCACTGGCTGCATGCTGCCCACAAGCTACCAGTTGCCCATCCCTCGAAAAGGAATATTACTGTATTGATTTATTTTTGTTTTGTTTATTTTACATTTTTTTACATATTATAAGATAAGAAAACCTTTATTAGTCTCGCAATGGAGAAATTCCCAATACACAGCAGCAAAGTTATGAAAGGATGTACACAGCATAGCTCTGTGTCATTTTATCGTGTCTTTATATAGTATCGATAACTGTGATGTGATAGTGCAAGTGGTGTTAAGAGGTGGCTTAAATCAGGTCAATCCCCACTGAAGGCCCAAGTACACCGACGTCGGCGTCAAGTCTTAATTTTGCAATCACATCCCATTATTGTTATTACGTTAAGAACGGGAAAAAAATACATAACGGGGAGATACGAAGTAACTCATTTGCCAGCTCATGCCCTCACCACGAGCCAACAGACAACACACTGCAGTCTCAAATGTGTCTTTCTCTCTCCCGAAACTGGCTCTTGCTGCCTGTCAATCAAGTCTCCCTCCTGCTCCCCGATTGGTCCATCTCCGCGTGGGGTGGGCGACGCCCACCGAGCCACATCGAGCCTGTTGGGTTGCCTCTCCCGGTGTCCTTTTTCACCCCCCATTTCACTCTCATCCAGTCTGCATCAGGCGATGCACAAAGTCGCTTGTCTTTAACGATACACGTTTCACATTCTTATATTTATGCACATTAAAAAAAAAAACGCTTTTCTTAAACTCAAAGAGAATCATCATGTTGAACAGATTTAGCTTCATGGAGCAGAGGATGGATTTTTCGTTCTACAGATTTCGGAGTTAAATAAAGGAAGTTTGACTCAATAGTCATTTTTGAAGGGTTCAAATTGGAGAATTGAAGGACTACTGTCGTTGTTTTTTTTTAATGGAAAAAATGGCCCACAAACAAGTATCCCTGCACTTTCTCTTCTTCCTCTTTATCCACCTGCTCGCCGCTTCCGCTCGTCGGTCTCACTACTCCGGAAGAATCGTCGAGAACTCCCCGGCCGGGACGCCCGTGGACGGCGTGGCCGTGCCGGTATTTGCCGGTGTCTGCCCCGGTCGTGGAGCCACGTTGAAGGGGAGCTACGCGTCCGACTTCCGTCTCCGTCTCCTCCACGGACGCCGGCGCCACCTGGTTCTGGTGTCATCCAAACGTTTGGACCGGGAGTTCATCGCCATGTACGAGCTTACCGTGGAGCGGTGTGCGGGGGTTCCGGTGTTGATCCAGGTGGAGGTTACGGACGTCAACGACAACGCGCCCCGCTTCACAGCCGGTAATAGAACCCTGGAGGCGGACGAGTTCACCCCGCTCGGCACCGAGTTGGCTCGGTTCGACGCCAAGGACGGAGACGCGGATGTAAATGGGCGCGTTACAGTTTACGCACAACCCGAGTCCAACTTGCTCCGCGTGGACCCGGAGAGCGGACAGGTGACGCTGGTGGGCTCCCTCCGCGGGCTGAGCCGAGTCACGACCCGGCTTTACGTCAAGGACGGCGGGGAAGAGCCGCTGGTCGGCGGGCCGGTCGTCCTAGAAGTCCTGGTGCGCCGGTCGGGCAGGACCCAGCCGGCCAAGCGGAAGTCGCGCGCCCTGGCTGAGGAGGTGACCTACGCCGTGAGCGTCCCGGATCAAGCCGGCATCGGGGATCTGGTGTTCACGGTTCCCGACCGGAGGTTCGAGCAGCGATGGTTCGAGGTGAGCTCCGACGCCGACTCGCCGGTGCAGATTGAGAGGGACTCCGGGAGAGTGTTCCTAGCGCGCAGCCTGCCGGAACCTGCGGAGGTGATGGTCAAGATCCACAAACACAGAGGTATGAACGACACACGATTTGATCAGCGTAACGACTCATCTCAAGTGAATGTTTCTCATTGATTCATTGATTGGGGAAGGATTTGTTGAGCTGACTTTTGGATTGCATATTATTTGATCTGGTGGTCCTTGTGGAATGACTGTTCTCGAGATTTGTTTTGTAATAGTTGATTAATATCCCCCACACCATCTGAATGAATATTTTTTTGGGTAAAATTCGTCTGTGTGTGTGTGTGTGTGTGTGTGTGTGTGTGTGTGTGCGTGTGTGCGTGCACGCGCGAGTGCGTCTGCACTCGCAAAGATAATGCACACTTTTGACTGACACAATCAAAGCTATTAATTTGACAAATGTTTATCGTTCCTGGTGAGCAGTAACACCGCATAGCCGAAATGTACTTTGTTCTTGTACTTGAGTAGATTTTTCACATTGTCTACTGAAAAATCCGTACTTTGCTTGGGTATGATTGAAAACAGAAATCTGTACTTTCTACACTTACTTTGACAAATACACTTTTGAGTTTTTATTTATTTATTTAAACCTGGCCAGTAAAATAAAAATTCGCTTTCTTTTTTTGTACTTTGAATGAGTGTACCTTTTTAACTTTTTCAACTATTTCAGATATGGCAGTGAATCATTACGTCTCATGTGTTTTTTTTTGATGCAAGTATTTGTAGTTCGACTACACAGTTACTACTTTTGCCACCAAAAGTTTGTACATAGAAGTGTGAGTGTGTGTGTGTGTGTGTGTGTGTGTGTGTGTGTGTGTGTGTGTGTGTGTGTGTGTGTGTGTGTGTGTAGCTATAGTTTGAAGTGAAGTACATCATGAGACTCATTTGGTATTTTGTCCTCACTCCTGTGTTGTGCAAGCATGTTTGTCTGTGTGAACATCTCAGCACACTTCACACACACAGTTGCTGCAGAAGCACAAACACACAATGGACTCTGGAGACAGTTCTCATCAAGTGTGTGATTTTGTTTTTTCGAGGCAACTTTGTTTGTTTTTGTGCTTGTTTGTCTTGCTAAGTTGTTTGCATTCCACCTCGACCAATCAGCTGCGAAATGTTACTCTCGTGCTAACGAAGATGTGGCTAGTGTTGCGGATTTATAAACATGCACTGATTGGTGTTTCAACTTGACGCAGAAGTGCGTTTAGTCGAAGAAATGAACGGTAACACTTAAATGCATCACAGCGTACCGTAACACTCAGCAAGGCAGACAAAAGTAATCGACATTTTGTTCTTTGACTGACTTGTACATGTACACAAACCTTCCTGCTGTCCTTAAGAGCGTGCCACCAAGATGACGGTTGTTGCTTTTTCAGCTGCAGCATTACAGCGTTTTTGCCGATCTGTTTCATAAACATTGTGCTCCAGATTTCTCCGGAGATTGCCAAACAAAAGCATTTTCGTTGCTAAGCGCGTTGCTATGGGTCTAACTCTGAACCTGGGTAGGTTGCGTAAACAAAAACAAAAACCGAAAAATAGTATGCTTGAAATAGTTTTAGCCCGAAGTATTACCCAGAAGATGGTCGGTCAAGTTTACTTCACACCTGACCTTCAAGCGTGGCTTTGTAAACTTTTTTTGTGGATCAGACATGTCGACCGAATTTCATGTTACTGTATGCAACTGGCTTCAGGGCCTGAGTTTTGAAATTATTCAAAGGGTCTCCGGAAATTGACCCTAAAATGGACTTGGCTTGGCCTTTTGAGAATTTTTTTTATGGGTCTGCTCATGACAATTCATGTTAAGTTAAACAAGTTTCTAAATATTTGAAGTACATCCAAAAATCGAGCGAAGTGACCCTAAAATGGCCGCTTCAAATTAAATGATAGATTTTTCTTTTATGTTTCAAGGATGAATTCTTGAAAAATTTTGAGTCGATTCATGATAATGATGCACACCAAATTTCATGTTGCCAAGTGCTAAATTTGGTTGCACGAAAGACTCTTACAAATGGCCAAAATAACCTTGGTGTCTTCAATCGTAAAATCTTGGGACTTTTGGTGGGCCGACATATGAGAGAAACCACTACCAAATTTCATGTCACAGGCTTAAGGGCTCAAATGGGGGCTGTTCTCATCCTTTTTTTTTTTTATTATTAGTTTTTTTGCGGGGGATCATGCCTACAACCAACACCAAGTCAACATTTTCTCCACAATAAACAAACCTGCAAAATCTGGTGAATTTGTGTGTGTGGAAAAGCCCATAAAAATTTCAAGAGTGCATTATTTCACATCGCTAGCTCGGGCCAATTTGTTTTGTTTTTTTTGTTTTTTTTGATTTTGATTTTGACATCCTACTTATGTCAAGGTTGATGTGGTCTTCATCCAAACTACGAAGTTGAGACGAGTGAACTCTTTTCAAAACAAAGTAGCGGCGTGCTGAGGATGACAACGTCCTGTTTGACAAGATGAAACGACATCCAGATGTTGGTCGGACCGCCCCCCACCCCCACCCCCATCGCCTCACAGTCCTCCTGCACTGCCACCAGCAAAGTCAATGTTTAAGCGGGATTCTTAACTGGCCCCATCTGGGCGGCGGCTGAGCATCCAGGTCACGTTTGTTCAATCAGTGCGAGTTGGCCGCGTGGCTGTTGTTTATTTGCGCTAATTAGTCGTGTTTGCTCACCTGGACATCCCCCCCCCACCCCCCTCAAGGCCACGCTTCTGAAAGGGGGGCGTGGGAGGGATTGAGCGCGTCACCCAGACCCTCGGGCCCCTCCGACAGGAAGCTTTGTTTTTGTTACGGCGGACGGGCCGCGCCGTTTTTTGTGATTTGTGGGACACGCTGCTGAATGTCGTGTAAACTCCAACTCTGATTGAGGCGTTCTGCTTTTTGTCACCGGTCAAACCAGGGCGGTTGTGTCGCTGCATCAGGGGCTGATTGGTCCCCACGGTCCCCGGAATCGACAAGAGGCAAGGGTTTGATCCATGATTGAAGTTAAGCTAAGCTAACATAGGGGACGCAGAAGATAAAGTCCATCCATCCATTTTCCGTTCCGCTTTATCCTCACAAGGGTCGTGGTGGGCGCTGGAGGCGATCCCAGCAGTTTTCGGGCAGTAGGCGGGGGACACCCTGAACCGATTGCCAGCCAATCACAGGGCACACAGAGACAAACAACCATTTGCGCTCACAACAACACCTAGGGGCAATTTAGAGTCTTCCGTTAACCTGCCCTGCATATTTTTGGAACGTGGGAGGAAACGTGGGAGAACATGGAAACTCCACACAGGAAGGCCACGACCTCTGCACTGTGAGGTCGACGCGCTAACCACTGGGCCACCGGGCCGCCCTGAAGATAAAGTAATTTGAATAAAGCAAAGTTTGCAGCAGTACATATGTTTAACCCTTTCAGGAACAGCGGTTACTCCAGTGGACAGCTTATCATGTTACCTCGTTACAGGGTGCATACAAGGGTTCACTAAGACATTAAAAAGTCAACTTTTTGACAGTCTAGGCTACTGATGGTTCCTGCGCATCAACACGTCAGCTCATGTGTCGAGTCAAAAAAAATGCGAAGCATCCGTGTCAGTGTGCATATCGCATGGAGAGCAGGTGTCAAACTCAAGGCCCAGGGGCCAGATCCGGCCCGCCAGATCATTTTATGTGGCCCGCGAAAGCAAATCATGTGTGTCAACTTGCTAAAATCTGGACTGAAATATCAAATTGTCATGTGTAATAAATAAGGTTGAGATTTTACATACATTTTTCGACCCTGTTTACACTCACTTGAACAATAATTGAACAAACTATTATAATTGATTTGACTGATTTCCAAACTAGTAATCTATTCATTTGTTGTGTACAAGTAATAATAATTTTGTGGTTTCACTGTCATAAAGGCCCTCCAAGGGAAGACGCAACTCCAAATTAGCCCGCGACTAAAATGAGTTTGACACCCCTGGCTTGGAGAAAAAGTCACGTGACCGATACGGCCGCAATATCGCTCAGTCGCTACCTGTTATTGAGGCGCCCAAACTTTATCACGAAGCACATCTGTCAGCAGGCACATTTTTTGGAGCTCAATTCTTCCCTTCCAGATGTGTGAGAGGGATCTCATAAGAAAGTCATAAGAAAGTCAACTCACAGAGGACATTTTAATCATTTTTCAATCAGCGTAAGGTATTGGAAAAGTAAACAGTGACAGGCTACGATAAAATAACAGACATGTTAACTTGGGATTAGTGTTTAATCCCTGTTTGAATGGAACATATTATATACGTACACCAAGGTTGGGTAGGTTAAGCCAACCCCCCCCCCCCCCCGAGTTGCCAGTTGGACACCCGCACCAAACAGGGAGCACCACGTTATTACGTAATTATCAGACTGCAAGATGCGGTGTCACAGTGTGAAATCTTTCTCAGTTGTGGCAATATCCTGGTTTCTCCGCATGGCAGAAAGCATTTTATGCTGCTCATCAATGCCAACAAGCCCCCGGCGACACATTTTGAGACTGAAAGAGAATCACGATTTGTTTTTCCTTTTCTGTCGGGTGAAAAGCAAAAGGCAAGAGTTGATCACAGAGACAAACAGTCATTGAATCCCTTAAAGTTGTCTTTGCGGCGAGAGAGAAACAATTATTTCAGCCGAATAAAGATCAGTGCGGCGCCGAGACAAAAGGATTTGTAATGAGCCGAAAATGCGGCCCGAATTTTTCAAACGGAGCACAGCGAGAGGATGACTTTGATGATTTCACACAACAATACTCTGAACGCAGCAGTGAGAAACATTTTTAATTGCAGGAAGACAGAGCTCAAACACGCCTCCTTTTAATGCAAACATGCCGCGGTATTTCAGCATCGGAGTTTCTCTTTCCTCGTCGCAGCATTTGTACATCCAACTGTGCATTTCACACAGAACCCAGTTGAGGCAGAATACGTTATTTAAAACAAGATGTTTCTCGCATCCACACAGGTCTTTCTCTATATGTGTACCAAAGTGTTTATGTCGGAATGAGAATAACACTCCCATCGGCCATGGTAATCGCGTCCGACTCTTCC